TTTGTTTTGTTTGGTAACAGAGGATTTTTAATCAACTATGCCACCAAGTAGCGTTATCACCACTTTATATCTACACTAATAAAAGAGAAACCTTCCCGGGGCGCCCGTAGGGGGCGGGGTGGCAGCTGGGATCGTGGACGGGGGCTGGTCAGCCTGGAGGAGTGGGGGTCCTCCCGGAGGAAAGGGGGCGCCCTGGTGTGCACCCCAACCCCAGAAAGCGCAGCCTTTCCCTTTATCTCCCGGACGTGTGGCCGCCCTGGGGTCCCTTTGACCCTGGTCTCCCTCCCTGGACTCTGCCCCGCCGGGTGGAATGGGCGTCTCTGAGCGCACACCTGGGAGGAGGGCACCGCCAGGGCTGCCCACGGCGCACAGCCGGCCGATCTGCCTGGCAGGAAGCGGAGGGACGGCGCGCGGTGGGCCGTGTGCCCGTCACTGGGGCTGGCAGCCTCTCCCGCGGGCGGATCGGGCCGCTGCCGCCTGGCCCTGGCTCACCTGCCCGTTCGGGGTGCGGGGTTCGCGGTTCAGTAGCGAGGCTGAGGCTTCACCTGCCATGGTGCTGGGGGGTGGGGGGGTCCTGGAAGGCTCGAGCTTGGATTTCAGAACAAAACAAAACAAACGAGCGAGTGTTTTGTGATCCGCGCGAAGGGCTTCCCGTTGCCCCAGGGCGGGTGGCACCCTCTAGTGTGGCCTCGGAATTGGGTCGCCCCTGCTCCTGTGACCGAGCATTTAAGACCAATGCGGGGGGGCGTCTGTCAACACAGAGGAGGAGTTTTTCCCAAGGTGGCGTTTGTGCGCTGACACAACTTAAACACAACTTAAACACGGCCCCTCGCGGGAAGGGGTCAGGCGAACGCCGTGGGGACCGGGGCCATGGGGAACCGGGACCGTTTCACTCGCGAGGGGACGGAGCAGCACGCGGGCTCTTCAGCGGGGAGGCCCTGGTTTTGCAAGTGAGTTTCACCATCCAGTCGAGATAAAACGTCTCGGTGGCACCGCTGCCAACGCTGCCAACGCTGCCAACCCAAAGGGTCAGCTCTCCCGCTGAGGAAAGCCAGTCTCCTCCACCCCCTCCTTCCCCGCATCTCGTTAGGCGGGACCTGGGACCCAGGAAGGCCCGGAGGGGGTCGGGTCAGGCCCGGCCGGGCGGCCTCGAGTTCCTGTGGGAAGGAAGGCGCGGCCTGGCACAGCGCAGGGATGAGGCCGGCTGCCCAAACCCAAGTGGGCCCGGGCCCTGTCCCGCAGCGTGGCCGCCTGCTGTCAGTTTACCAGGCTGGGCGCTGGGCCGCAGTGGCGATGGCACGGGTGCCGATGGCAGGGGGGGAAGAGGGCCTGTGCTCTTCAAAACCAAAGTCAGGAGCCTCTCCTGCCACGGCAGGCGGGGCACGGGCGGACGTGGGTGGAGAGCAGGGTGCAGAGCAAAGTCACGGCTTCCGATGCAGATCTGGCTGAGCTGCGGGTTAACATTCATCCACGCAGTAAAGTAGCGCTGCCAACGGGGCGGAATCAGGCCTTAAAAATGAAAGCGGCCGAGTCTGCAGGGAACAGGGAGATCACGCAGCCACTGATCAGATAGTGGGACACACCTGTTTCCCTAGCCTTGTCCTCAGAAAGCAGACGCAAGCAGGAGGTGACAGGATGTGACCGGAAGGCAGGGCTGCCGAGCGTGGGACCCCAGAGGCCCGTGTGTCCTCTGGTAATGCCCACCCTTGAACTGCGCCGGCGCGGGCCAGGTCCTCCGTGCACATCGCCTCGTCACCCTCCAGACCGGGTGAGGTTGGCCGTGGTGCCTCCACTTCCACGTGGAGACGGCGTGCTGTGGTCTTGCACGGCACACGTGGCTGAAGGTTGAGTCCGGGTCTCGGTCCCCAGGTCTGGGCTCCTTGCCGCTCGGCAGTACGGTGCCCTCCCCTTCGGGTCTGCAGCGGTGAGCACGGTGCGCCGGCTGGTTGGTTCCGCTGGCATCGGGCTCCTTGCCCTGGGCAGCAGGGACAGTGTCCTCCTGCTCCCGGGGCCAGGCCTGGGGGAGTGCTGAGCGAGCTCTCTGCGCTGGGGCTGGGCACTGGGAGCCTCGTGAGCTCAGCATCCAGATTCCGTCCTGCTCCCCGTCCTCGCTGCCAGCGCAGAGCGCCACGGGAGCGCGCGGACCGTAGCGGAGCGGCGGCACTCGGTGAGCCTGCTGCTGGCTCGTCCCCGGGCCTGTGCTCCAGTGTGGCCTGGCCTTACCTGTCCTCCGGCGTGACAGCCGAGGGGGAGCTGTCACCTAGGAGCCCTCTTGGCCTCTGGTCAGGCGTTGGGTAGCGAGCGTGGTCTTGAGGACACTGATCTGGCACAGCCGGTGTGAACTGCTCGGAGCCCGTGGGTGTGGGTTCTGAGCATTCTCCTCCTGCCCGGGCTCCGTGCCTGGGCCACCAGGAGGGGGGGAGGACAGAGGGAGCGCTCTGCCCTGCTCACCTGTCTTCAGAGGCTAAGGGAGCCACCGCGCTTCTTAGGGAGCGACGGGGGGACATGGGGAGACTGGCTAGTGAGGCTTCCCTGTGGCTGCTCTTCTAGGGTCAGGCAGGCTCTGTCACACCTGGATGCTGAGTAGAGAAAGCCAGCCCGTCTCCAGCTGAGGGCCAGTGACACCTTCCTGTCCCTCGGGTGTGGCACGCAGCCTGGGAGCAGCACTCGGGAGACTAGGCTGGCTGGGAGTTGGGGGTCACGGTGGGCAGGCACGTGGGGGTCCCTGAACTCCCGCCCCGCCTGGCTCAGCGGAGGAAAGTCTCTGCCGCTGGCTCATTTTCAGGGACACGTAGGTGAGAGCCAGTAAGGCGGGCGGTTGTGAGGGTCCGGGATCCTGTAACTGACTGCCCCTCCGCAGGCTCTCCCCGCCGTCTGCCTCCAGCAGCGTCCGACTCCCTCCCGAGAGCAGCCCCTGGCCCTCAGGCCCGACAGCCCGGCCTCGGTGCTGCCCAATGCTTGGCGCCCGCTCTGCTCTGCTCCCGGGGGCACTGACTTGGGACTGTCCAGGCCAGCATGGTGTGGGCTCCGTGGCCACGTCTGAACCCTGGTGACCAAAACACATGTAGGAAATAAGATGAAAATGGGTCTGGTCTCCGTTATGAAACGGTTTTTCCTTCGTGCCCAGTCCAAGCAGGTGTCATAGAGGCCGCCGTTTGCCGGGCTCCGAGTCAGCCGGGCCTGTAACACGGGGTCCCTTCACCCGGGCCCGCTTCACTTGGGAAGTCAGGTAGCAGCCTCGCTCCGCGCGCGAACACCTGTGGGGCTGCGCCTGCCCAGCGCAAGGAGACGCCGTCTCGGCGGTGTCTGTGCGGGGGGAGGAGTGATTACCTGTCTGGAGGGAAGGTTCTCTCTGCTCTTTAATCCTCTGACCCAGACACTCAAATTAAGAGTGCAGACTCACTGCCTCCGTCCGCCTCGTGGGCTGCGGTGCCCGCCCGTGTGGGACGGGGCTCAGACCACAGCCCAATGGAGAGGCGAGTCAGCACCGCCGATGTTGGTCCCTGTGCTGCCTTTCGGGGTCGCTTCCCAGCCTGGGGGTCCCACCAGGCTCCAGTCCCTGAGTCGGCCCCGCCGGGCTTCTCTCAGGCTGAGCATCAGGGGAGGCCGTGCCGTTGCCAGGGTTCCCCGCAGAGCCCAGGAGATCCGTCTCCTCGGGGCTGGGGTGACTGCACCGTTGCCGGGCATTTCAAGAGCATGTGGGTCTGAGGCAGAAATGGGAGGGCGTATAGCGTCAGCGTTCCCCGAACGCCCTGATCTGATGCGGTGTGTGTGTTTACACCAAGTGTACCTGCACCTTGTGTTCTCTACATGCACCTCAACATTTACGTAGGAGAACTTGGGGCCTCTTTACTTTAGCAGGCTCTTCTCCTCTCCTGCTTAGTAAAGTCGGAGCGGACCTTGGCGACCTTTAGTCCAGCTGCCCCCACTTTGTAGAAGGGTAGCACAGAACCGCACCCCCCAAAGGAACTCGGTTTGTCCCTGGTCACACAGTGCACCAGCTGGTGGGTAGTGGAGCCAGGAGGAGGCCCGGGCCTCGGCCTCAGCCCGTGGTCATGTCCCACGCCTGCTAGGCTGTCTGTCCATCCCTGTGACCTCTGCCACCACCTCAGTGGGGTGAAAGGCTGAGCAGACGTGCGTGGAATTGACAGCTTGGGGCTCAAGCTCAGTAGGTGGGAGAGAAGGGACACGAGTCTTCTCCCCCCCCAGGTGAGTAGGCTTTTCTGTGCTCACGAGCCGAAGCTGATGAACAAAACTAAACATCCAGAGGCCATTAGCTGCGACAGAAGCTTTAGCACTTTCTAGCCTATGAAGCAACTTTCCAAAATGCCAAAATTAAGACATGCTCACGGATGTACCTTCGTTTAGTCCCACAATGGGTTTAGTTAGCCCTCAGAGGGGCTGTGGCATTAATCTGATGGACCGTGAGGCCAGGCTCAGGGATGCCCTTTAGACTCTCGCTTGCTGACACATCACTGCTGTGGGTGGGCCCCTGTCTCCCCGGGTTCCTGCTGTGTTATCGGCGCCCTAGCAGTTCCGTCCCTT